CTCACTCATCCCTATTAAAATTTGGATTAATGCTGGAGGGAGGAGAAAACTTCCAATCTGAATTTCAGCAGCTGCCAGAATACTTATTCACATAAACTTTTGGGGACAACTTTTCTTTGAAACTCTGTACTGTAAAAGGAAGACTAAAGACATTTGCTTGCAAAAAAAGGCACTGTTGTGAGAAGACAGATGCTGCTCCTCATTTTCAGCAATACTTTCAAGTAATACCAAAATATTTGGCACAAAACACCCGATTAAAGAAATGCCACTGCTGATGGCAGATGGTACCTCTCATCCCAATCTGTAGCAGCCTGCTAACGTTAGATATAATCTGATTGCAAACACGGTGCTTGCGTTTTTTCCAGATGAGCAAGCTTTACATAATTTTTCATTGACCTTATTTTAGTTTGTTATCAAACATCAGTGTTATGAGCAAACATCTGATTACAGTGTTATCAAACGATCCCTTCTGCTCATCCTACCCTTCCAACCTTTGAGCACCTGGAAATGTCCTACTATATAACATCAACAAAACAGCCTTTTTTTGCTCTTTACTACCTGCTTAAAACATCTACCTTTAAGCTGCTCTCACTATAAAGAGCCTGAAGGGGGCCCAAAAGATTTTAATCCTCTGTCCCTACGTGTAAGGATTGTGAAATATTCTGGACAGCAGGTTACTCATGTTTAGTTTAGAATAAATGGGAACTCACCCTACATCCTCCTATAAGCTTTCTCAAGTGTAATTCTATGCAGTAAAACAGCTAAAAAACCAGGATCTTCTTCAAGGAAACTGCACTTCCATAGAACTCATTGAACAAACCTGCGTGTTTGCCAAACAGTGGCTCCTTGAGCTATGAAAGAGAGTTTGTTTAACAGAAAACAAGTGAATACGTGTCCTACTGCCTCTTCTCTTCCCCTTTGCTGGCTTGGGCACAGAATTCAGCTGCAGCCAAAGATGACGACTGCCTTGCTAAAATGGTGACAGGCTAACTCAAAATTCAGAACACGTTAACACCGGGCATTAACGCTAATCCTCGGCAGGTATTTCAGAACTAGCCAGATTTCCTACAGCCATACCAAGGGGACTTGTCAGAGCTCTTCTGTTAAAATTGATTACTTTTTCTACTAGTTCTCAAGAGTTCTCCTCGGTAAAAACTATGAAACGGCCTCACAGATTTGCTTTTAAACAATGCTGCCATTTGTCACCAGATTTGAATAGCCACCATTTGGATACATCCAGAATAAGTCAAAGCACTATGTGAATGCTTTGAACCATGCTCTTCAGAGAAGCAAGACAGGCCTTCTTGTACTTGTCACATATTCAGTGCCTAGCTTTTAACAAGCTTCCAAGAGCAATACAGAGTATGTTTTCCCTACCCTATCAAGTACTGCAAACGCGGAGGTGCTACTTGTTCCAGCTGCAGGGTAACAGGAGCTAGAATTTAACACATTACATTATCTTGATTTCAGCAGCCATCCATGAACGTCCTTCAATGATCTCAAGCCACCCGCTGGTCTTTTGAAATACTCAGCATCTGGTCCCAGTTCAGGTGAATAAGGTATGTAGTGCCTGTAGCAAAGAGGCTGTGGAAGGCACGATAATCAAGGAAAACTGACTGTGTTTCTTACCCTGGCCTAAGGCACGTGACCTGAAAAATGGAGCAATTACAAGGGGCTACTTCTGCCCTTAAAGAAGTCCTATCCTCTCTCCTCCTGCTGCAAGGAATCAACTTGTTCGGCTATTTTGCCACCAGTCTTACAAAATATTGACGATGCTAAGGGCAGACAACATTTGGCTGAGATTCTAGGAATTCCAGAAGGGGAAATACACACGAAAGGAAGAAAAACCTCATCTGAGGGTTAACAAAAGACACTAGTTCCAGAAAGTTAACCAAACTGTTTTCAACTCCCTTCTGCCATACACTTCTCTTAATGCACCTGCAGATATTCAGCGCACAACTCGGTATTGCCTTACCTATCACTGACTGAACAGGGAGACAAAAAAGTCCCGAGAAAAAAACAACAGGAAAGGCAGGTCTATGTCACAAATCCTGCATTTACCATGGTCGGCATCAGCTATGTACCCTACTGTACAATACATAAAGAAATCTACATAAGATGCTTATGGGACCATAGGTACAACACAGGGTTTGAAATTCCTATCTACTGTGCACTTTCAAAAGTAATTTCTTCTCGCGGTGCGTACAACAGATGATTTATGAAACCTCCATAGCAACTGGCGAGTAGAAATAAAGACAACAGAATAAACTTCATTGTTTTTATTCTGCAAAGCATTATGCACATCTTACAAACACAAACTTAATCTAGGAGAGAAATGTCATTTCCAAATCAGCTATTAACCATCATGCAACAAGACAAGTGAAATGTAAGAACAAAACAAAACAAAAAAAAGCCATCTTAACCCTACAATCATCTGCAGAGGGTTGAAAACCAAGGCTCAGATTTTCTATGTAATGCCAAAGAAAAACGCAACAGAAAATGGCAGCTTTCTAAGAACAAGAAAACACGTACAAATAGAATCAAAACTGATTCAAGTCATAGTTAAAAAGAAAAAGAAAACAAAAAAGGAAAGATCAATATGATCCGAACTTTAATATTAAGTTTTTACTCTTCTGTTTGGCTGCATTTAACTTTTGTACATCGCGCCTAGGTACAATCCAAAATTCCTCAGTATTACAGCATTTCAACCTGATGGACACCCTTACCTCCTTGCTGCAATACACGGGGCAAAGGGATAAGAAGCTAAGGCCAAGAAACACATCTCCTTAACATTTTCCCCTTTGCATTTGGTGGATCACAATTTTTGTATTTCTGGGTATTTCAATACAGTGGGTGATACACTGCAAAGCCGACCCCCCCTAATTACCAAATAGCAAAATCGGATTAAAAAAATAAAAATCCTGTTTTCCCCAACACACCAAGTTCTAGTTAGGACTTTTGGAGTTGGATTTTAGTTTGCTGAAAGACAAAAGACTTCGGTTTCTTTTTTGAAGGACTCATGTTAACTTGGGTAATTCCTGGCTATTTCCAGAAGCTGCAATACAACCCCCACTCAGTTTCTTCTTCCTGCCTTTGGTCCCCAGAACAAGCCACCCTCTTAGGCAACTCCAGAAGTGAATACTAATGCAGAAGGCTGGGTATGCATGTGTTAGGAACAGCTCAAACAACTTCCATGAGAAGCTGTCTACCTCTTTTCACTTTACTGGTTCATTTCAGTGAGGCTGTACTAGTCCGTAGCATCATCAGGAGAAAACTGGAAGCTTCCTTTTACCCCTAGACTTCAAACTAGGCCATCTCTAAAGCTTTGCCTTAACATCCCTGGAGAAAAATGCACGTTAGTTAACACCACATAAGTAACCGAAATGCTATAATGGAAACATGTTCTGAAGAAAAGCATGACTATTTTGCTTCGAATGCTCTGAAGATTTAAGAGCTTACTGAAGTCCTATACATACAGGCCTGCAGACCAGCAGCGTACCATTCACAATAGTGTCTATAGGTAATAAACTAAGAATCTTATGCCAGCATAACAGACTGCAGGATTTTAACTTGGGTTTATTGTTTTGCATTCATACTTAGGGCTAAACTTACCAAAGGGGAGGGGAAAAAGAGTATACGCACATGTTTACAGACCTACAGTTACACTACCTGACAGGAAAGCTGAAAGACAAGATGAAAGGTCAATTAAGGCAACCAGTGAGATTTTAAAAGCAGTGGTGGAAATGTCTGCAGGAAAACCCTGACTCATGAAAATTCAGCTGACTGAATAACAAGCTAGAAAGAACGACAAAAGCTAGAATGGAAAAGGGAGAAATGCACATTGTAAAAACTCCTCTGATTTAAGAATGGACTCAGAGAACAGTATGAGTTTTACCGTTTGGTTTCTTTGACCTTAATCACAACAGCCTTAGTTCTCTCCTTGTCATTTTTCCCTCAGTGAACAGCATTAAATAGAAATTGGACAAAGCTAATAAAAGTGTCATTTTCAGCTGCCCTTCAGAGATGGAGAGTCTCAAATTGAAGTTCTATTACAGACTATGGGATTTCTTTTCCTCTTATTATTTGCACTTGCCCGAGGCTGTGCAGAGCCCCAACACAATGTTAATACAATGCATCTTTTTATTAAGGTTCACTTTCTAGAAAAAAAGTTTACAGAAAGCTACTCTGCAGCAAAGATGCACGTTCCAGATCTGAGGGCTGCAGATGGGAGGCCAAGTGGAAAGCTTTCCAGGTAACCTCTACACTGACTGATTCCCTGGCATTCAGCAGGCCAAATGAAAAGAAAAAAAAACCAAAAAACAAAAAACAAAAAAACAAAACCAAACTTAGCACTTTTGCGTAAGAAAGATTTTAAAATGGGACTTCACTTCTTAATTCCTTAGTATGAATAAAAGCACAAGTTTGTCCTAAATACAGCACTATTAAAATGTGAATATGTACTTCTCTTTTCCAAAAAAAAAAATCTAAAAATGTTGATATCTTTTCTCGCAAGCAAGGAGCAAATGGAAAAAGGTATTAGGCCACACAAATACACATTTAATTCATGTAGTAGATTGGTGGCTTTGGAAATGCAGTATTATATCAAAGGTGCATACTGTTTCAAACACACTGTACATATCATTGGGCAAAAAACAAATATTTGTTGGTTTGAGACATTTGCAAAGGCATCTTAACCTGCCCAGATGCAGCTAGACAAAAATATCTTGCTCTGACTATATGTAGCCATATCACTAAACATATCTACACAAACATTCGGCTATGTCCACAGGTAAAGACTGAAAGATTCCGACCGCACTACAATGCGGAACAAGTGCATCATCTGACCTATTCTGAATATACTTTTATAAATATGTACAAATCAATTACAGGCACTTGAAATGTCTTTGGTTGGAATAAACCAACATTGCAAGATAATGTATTCACAGAGTGTTAAGACCCATTCTGGGTTCAGC